ACATCCAAAATCACCCATTTATATGCCTTAAAGCGCGCCCTAATGTGAGCTTGTCACGAGGCGACTGCATGTCAATGACCGCCTGCACCTTCTCAGGGTTCGCCTCTATTCCTCTCTGATTGATAAGGAATCCGAGAAATTTCCCAAACTCAACTCCAAAGACACATTTCTTGGGATTGAGCATGACATGGTGCCGCCTGAGTGTGGCGAAAGTTTCTCGGAGGTCCGACAGATGATCTTTCTGAAGTTTAGACTTGACAATCATATCATCAATATATGCCTCGACATTTCTCCCAATTTGATCAAAGAACACAGTGTTTATCATTCGCTGGAAAGTGGCCGGGGCATTCTTAAGACCAAACGGCATGACCGTGTAACAGTATAACCCCTAATCAGTGACGAAGACCGTCTTCTCCTGATCTTTCTTCCATAAAGGAATTTGATGGAAATCAGAGTAGGCGTCCATAAAGCTCATCAAAGCATGGCCGGCTGTTGAGTCGACCAGGTTATCAATTTTAGGCAGAGGGTAACTGTCTTTGGGGCACGTCTTGTTTAAGTCAGTGTAGTCTATACACATTCGCCAGGTGCCATTCGGCTTTTTAACAAGCACCACATTTGCAACCCAGTCTGGGAAGTAACATTGTCGAATGAACCCTGCATCAAGTAATTTTTTAACTTCGGCGGCTGCCGCCTGACTTCTTTCTTTGCCATGGTTCCGCTTCTTCTGCCGTACCGGCTTCTTTTTCGGATCCACGGCCAGTTTATGTACCGCCAGATCAGGACTAATGCCTGGCATTTCATGGACTTCGAATGCAAAGATGTCCTTGTATTCTTTCAATAGTTTGTGAAAGTCGTCACCCAGGACTCTCAGAGCAGTCGTCCCAACTTTGACTGTTTGCTCAGGACGTGAATCGTCTAAGATCAAGTCCGTATGCTCACCAGCCGGTTGAGGGCGGAATTCATCCGACCGCTCCTCTTCCAATGATTGCTATTTACTGTCTTTTCTTGCGGCCCCTGTCTGGGATGCCTTTCTCTTCTTGCCGCCTGCTTCTTGAACAGGCGCACTCTCCTTGACATTGTCAAGGTTTATTTTTCCACCACTCGACCCAGTGGCCATAACAGTGGGCTTGACATCCGAGAGATAGCACTCTCGGGCCATCCTCTGATCTCCCCTTAGGGACCCGACTGTTCCATTATCCCTCTCAAACTTGAGCAACATAAGAGATGGGATTATAACAGCCTTGGAATTATTCAGGGTTGGTCGTCCCAGAATCATGTTGTAGGCCGATAGTTCTTTTACTACCAGGAACCGGACTACCATGTGTCGTCCTTCCCCTTTTTTGTCCAGGCGGATGGGTAAATCCACTCGTCCCACTGGGTGGACGACTCCTCCTCCAAACCCTACTAAAGTGTGGGATGCCGGATGTATGCAATCAGTCTGATATATTAGTTTCGACAGACATTTGCTACTGATGAGATCTGAGGAGCTTCCGGTATCTGTGAGGATTCAGCCAACTCTCTGGTTGGCCACTTTACATTCAATAACGATAGGGTCGTCATGCGGCCCTCTTACCCCTCCTAGATCTTCTTCAGTGATGACAATCTCAGGAAATGAATATTTGGTGAACGGAATTTACGTCTAGTCGCCTGATATTGTCTTTGTTGCCCCTAATAGTGGGGCCGCCTCCTGAGAAGCCGCCTGCAATGGTGTAGACGACTGCATCATCTGTATCGGAGCTGTCGGCCTGTTGATTCTTTTTGGTCGACTGCTTTTTTGAGGAAGTGTTCCCCGTAGATTTCTTGACATAAGTGTCAAGATCACCTTGCTCAGCCAGGCGGTCCAGATACCGCATGAGACTGATGCATTCATTGGTGTGATGACCAACATCTTCATGATAATCACAGAATTTTTCTTGGTTCCGGTTGTTTGCAGAACCCTTCATGGGGACCGGCTTCTCAATTGAGATCCGTCCCTTGATTTCCTTTAGGATAAATTGGCTATCCTTGTTAAACACATACTTTGGGGAGTATGGTTTGAATTCTTTTTTCTTTTTCTGGGCCGGCTGTTTAGAGGAATCAGCCGCCCAGACCTATTTTCTCTTCTTGTCTTTGTTTGACGACTGTTTCTGTCGTCCTTCTCTTTTGTCGGACCTTTTCCCGTCTGACTGTTTTACCGTACCACAAAGATCAGTCGCCTGTATATAGGCTTCCGCTTCAATCAACGCCTCTTGAAGAGTCGCCACCCTCTTTCGGACCAAATCAAATTTGAAGGTCGACCCGTCTTTGAGACCTCTGAAAAAGTCAGTATAGGCTACTTCATCCGGTAACCCTTGAATCTGTATTCTCATCAGGTTAAACCGCCTGATGTAAGAACGAAGCCCCTCCTCGCCCTGCTGAATTGTTCCTAAATCAAGGGTCGTCTTCTTCGCAGGGATGTTCATGGCGAAGTTGGAGGTGAATAAGTAAGCAAGCGTCTTGAAGTTATTTACACAACCAGTCGGCAGGTTGCCGAACCATTGTTGTGCAATTCCTTTGAGAGTCACTGGGAAACACTTGCACCAAGTGGGATCATCCAACCCTTGAAGATACATCAGGTTAGTGAATGCCATCAGATGGTCTTCTGGGTTAGTAGTGCCGTCATAGGCGCCTACTAATACATTTTTCACTTTGGCCGGCTGAGCGGCTTCAGTAATTTCCTTGGAGAAGGCCGACGGCTGTTCACCAAGTCTAAGCAACCGTAGCTGCCAGTCCATAGGTTGGACATTTTTTGCTGCATGTCCACCAAACGGAGGTGGCTGTAAAAAATACTGTTGTTGCGGTACAAACGATAAGTTTGGTACCGCCTGGTCGCTATGAAAGCCAGACTGACGGGAGGTGCCGCCTGACTGACTCTCATGATACGACTGAGTATGCCTCATCGAGGTATTTTGCAGACTGTCTTGGAAGTTTGAAGTAGAGGCCGACTCTGACAATCGGTCACTCTTCTTCTGCTCTAGCAGTAGCCGAGCGTCTGTGTATGTTTTCCTCGACCCGTCCGCCTGAATTTGACGAACAGGTTTCCTATTTCCTGGAGTAGGAAAACGGTATTTTGTGAAATCAAGGGCAGGTGGCTCCCACTTCCTAGATTTAGGATGAGGGGTCGCCTCTCGCCCTTGAACTGGTTTCCTCTTCAGTGAAGTGGAGGGTTTCTTAGCCGACTGCTCCTTGTCTAGAGCAGGCGGCTTCTTGTTGATCAACTCTTGAATTTCTCCCTTGAAGTCCCTCATGAAGGTCATGAGTTCGTTCCTTGTGATGGGAGCAGACCCATCAGTCGGCTGCTGCCGAACAGGCGGTGCGCCTGCTGGCTCGCTTCCAGTTTGAAGATGTTCCCGTTCCCTCCTTTCGGTATGACGGGTACGTCGGGCCCTTAGGGTCCCGTCTGAAGCTGTGTGAGCTTCAACTTCAAATTCATTCTCAGTATCGTGGGCCGACTGAACTAGAGGGTCGTCCAGGGGACGTCTCTCTTCAGGAGTCGGTACAAACGTGGATGCCATCTCAGAAGTACTCTCCCCACAGATGGCGCCAAGATGTTTCGGGGTTTTCTGATGTCCTGCGGGAGAGTTACAATTCCGAGACTGGGACCGGACGCCTGTACCTGCAAAACAAACGGATGCTCCGGATGATTGGAGATCCGCCTCCGACGGTCAAGTTAGTACTTGATTAAGGAGTAATTAATGCGGAAATTAAAGTGATTGGGTCTCTCTAGGTGAGAGTATTTAATGTGTGTAATCTGCGTTTTTAGCGTGTTATCCCCCTTAATGAGGATTAAGGGAGGTATTTATAACCTCGAGAAACGTGTCAATCTAGGTTTTGGTTAACCTTGGGCTGATTGGGCTTCCCTCGGAAGTTGGGCCTAGGTGACCGGTTATCCCAGGTGTCATGGGAAGGACATGTGTCGTGTCGTAATTGGTCCATAGTGGACGGATCACTGCTTGACACGTGGCAGGCTCCTATTGGCCCATGTGACGGACACATGGCGGAACCTGATTGGTCCACTTGTCAGATGGTGGTTGGTGGGGAAAAATCCCCTAATCAACAATCAACTCCATTATTTGTTGTGGGCACTTGCATAGGAAAAAATCAAATGAATCAAACTTCACATAAAATCCACAATTGTTTTAGCAATGTTTATTAAGATAATCACAATATGATGTGGCATTACCATAGGTGATTTCCATGTAGGACCACGTGGAGCACGGCCATGTATCTTTTTCATAATACTATAGGAAAGTAAATTCAAATTTTATTAGTTTGACTACTAAATGAGTTAGGTTAAGATAATCAACACTAGGTAGCTATATTTACTTTTGTAGTATAGACATCACGAGGTACTTCTTTGTTGATCGAGCTGAATCAAGGTGAAAGATTGTGTTATTAGCAGGACAAATCACCATGAGGAACCAATGAAACCTACATAAATTCACAATACACAAACAAATCAATAATTAGGGTACAACATATAATTCAAATGTAGAAATAATTGAATTACACATGGTTAAACGTACTCTTCATAACATGGGGCGAATATGAACTTGTCTCCCGCACGCATTGATTCCTTAATACTATGATTAACATAATACATCACCTCGGGGGAGTTGTGTAAGATTCTAGTCTCGGATATCTGTTCGGGGTAAACCACCCAACTTTACTAGGGGAATCAGTGTCACGTAAGTGCTCTCGTAGTGCTCTGTGTGCATGGACAATGAAAAATTAATTGACATATATATGAAGGATAAACAACACTAATGTGAATAACATAATTAATTTAAGTGGCATGTGCCCGTACCTCATGAATATTTGAATGAGAGAAATGTTAAGCATTGAACCTCTTAAAAATTCCTTCACATCTTGTTTGTTTAACCATGCACTTGCATCCTCATCATAATGGAACATTGCCTTAGGAAGTGCAATTTCAATGGGATCGTCACTAGGCAAATGACTAAAACGATTGTGTAGAAAAGTTAAATCCTTAATGAGCGATTGAAGGACATTGTCTCCAACAAGTGGAGTAGGTTGCATGGCTGAACCTTTTTAAGAATTCTTTTTCGACACTTGTTCACTCTTCGACCCTTGTTCACTCATCTTCTTTGTAGGTTGATCAACGCTTTTAGGCTTCTCCACCTTCCTTCTCTTTGATGGTTGACTTTTTTTCGAAATCTGATCAAACAAAGATAATTAGAGTTCAAAAATTTTTGGCCGGGGGTTAAGCTAGTAAGTACGCATGCAGATTTGTTATTTTGCACAACATCAAAATAAATATTACCTCGTTGATCAACCTCTCCCAAGCACGTGGCCATTGCACATAGCTACCTGTAGACACCTAAAAATGTCTCCCCAAAACCAAACCCGATGATGAACAACCTTTCACCGCCACTATTGGTCGGGTTCAGTATTTAATCCCGAGAGTGCTTAAAAAATCCTATTTGATTAAATTCATATTTTTGAACAGTCCATGGATTAGTCTTGATGTTTGATAAAAGCATAGTTTTAATTTCAGCCCAAATTTATTATTTAATTTTAGCCCAAACCTTTTTTTTATTTATTAATGTATTATTTATTTTTGGCCCAAACCTTTTTTTTATTTTATTTAATTATTTTCATATTTTAGCCCAAATGATAATAAATCAGAAAAGGCCCGAAATTGTCAATCGACACTTAAAATGCTGAATGAAATTAGGGTTAAAAATGTATTTAGACGGAAAAGCGGGTTGGGAATTCCCGCGCCACGGCAGGTACCCACCGTGTCACGGGAATCATTCCCGTCTGACGGTGGGATTTCCCGTGACCCTTAACGTGTTTTCTTCCCTATTTACTGAAAATTTTCCGCGTCACACTAAAAATGCACCGTGTCACGGGAATGTTTCCCGTCTGACGATGGGACTTCCCGTGTCACGGTACAGTTTTCCGTGTCGCGGGATACTTTTTTAGGGTTTTTATCATTTTAGGGTTCCGTGTGCTCCCTCAGCACATTTTCTCTATAAATACCCCCTCATTTCTGATGTACGGGGCAAGAATTAATTCTCTATTTTTCTCTTTTTTATGCTTTAGCCTAAACACTAGCCTACCCTTCTTATTTCAAAATTCCTTCTTCAAGTACTCCAAGGAGTCCATACTTTACTCGTGGTTCTGTCCTTAAGCCAAGGAGTGAAAGGTAGAACTGTTTGAGGGTTTGACCCTAAATCAACTCTACTTTGTTTAATTTAATTTAATTGTTGTTTTATTATTATTTTATTGAAGTTACTAACTCGATTATTATTTTGTAGTTGCAAACAAACAGAATCAAAGTAAGAATTATGTTCCTCTTATTTCTATTATTTTTCTAACGATTTTATATTGTTGGAATTATTGTTAAATTGCTTCTGATATTAATGTTTATTCTATTATTATTTATGATCACCATATTGCATGTTTAAAGGGATTATGTAATTGAAAATCACGCATAATAAGATAATTTGGACGACCGATTTAGGTTCCTTTTTAATCTTGTTGTTTAATCAAGTGATCACTAATATTTTAGAATTATGTGTTGCATTAATATTCAACCAATTTAGCTTAATAATAGTTTGGAGGAAATTAAATATTTTGTTTGTATGCCTTTGAGATCGCAGGAATCACTTTTCACTATAAGAATCGAGTAGAGGCCAATACGGGAGAATGTGACTCCATGACTCACTTCGTACCATCATCCTCGATCCTCCTTTCGTGGTTCCGAACCATATGGAGTTAGTAATCTCATGGATTATGAATGGGGTGTAACCTTCACGGGTCAATCGTTGTTGCCTATCGTTGTCCCTTATCGTGGTTGCCTTTTTATGATCCGTGAACGGTTTACAAGTTCCTTAAAAACTTGTTGGTGGCTCCCTACTTTCCTTGTCCCTAATCGTATTATGTAAATTCCCACTTCCTATGAGTGCCAAGCATATTCACAACATGCTTTAACGTAGGCGCACTTCGAGCGACGCCTACACTACCCTTTGCTTCCCAAAGAAGAGTAATCCCATCATCCACTATAGGAACCGGTAGTAGGATGTTTTCGAACCTAGCAATGTAAGAATTGATCCAGACCGAGTAATGTTGTGGCCTAAGCGATTGGAAATGGACCGTATCACCAGTTGTCGCTCTTGCACTACCATACGCCACCAACTGCAACTCTCCTCCATTTGATAGCCCCAGGTCTAGAAGTGTACACTCGGTCTCTACCTACACCAGTAACGAAATTCACTTGTAAAAACTGAAATTATCAAAAAGGGTCTTTTCCTACACAATTGATCATGTAACTAAATTCACTATGTTAAAACCAAACACGCTCCCTCGAATCCTAAATTCACCTCTAAATCTGGAAATTCATAGGGTGTTGGATTATCAACCTCCCTCGAGTCCGCATGTGTTGGAGTAACAACATGCAATAATTAATCAATAATGCCACATTAGATCTCACGTAACTCACTAGCTAGGCCAAAACTAATAGATAGTAAACTACCTCATGTATCTCCTCTTCTCCATGTCTCTCATCTTCTCCTTGTCCTTTTGGGTGACTACTTGAGTCAACCGGTGTAGTCGGGGGTAACGGCAAGGGTAAGTTCATTTGCTTCGCCCAAGCATTGAATTCACCTATTAACTCATTGCGAACTTGTTCCTTGATGGATGCCACCTTGGCATCCAATTCTTCCGGTGAGTTAACACTTGCTCGAGATCTTCCCGTTTTTGTGTATTCTGAACCCATCACCTTCTCCCATCCTAGCAACGTCCCTCCCATACCTACTACCCGGCCTGGATGGTAGGGCTTTCCCAAAGCCAAGGTGAAAGGGTCTTTCTCTATAGTCGGGACCAGCTTGCCTTCAACAACTTCTGTAGTGTACTCAAGCTGTAGCATAAGAAAAAAATATAAACATGGATACATATAATGTTTTTGTATGGTAAATTTATGCTAAAGTTTCAAATAGCTTACAAGTTTATCAGCCACTTTTTTTTCCGGTTCCTTGATGACCCATTTTCCGGTGTCCTTATCAAAGGAATGTAGAGAACAAATGAAATCGCCAGCACGACTAACCAACGTAGTGATCGTGGAGTTGGAGGGTTCTTCAGATGACCCTTGAGTCAAAGTGGGGTATATACCCTCCTTCTTCCAAGTTTGCCTCCATTCACCAAATGTCTTGGCCCCCGTACGATGGCGGTACTCCTTCTGCAATGCATTTGCCTTGTTTTGCTCTCGAATTTCCTACATAAATAGTAATGTTAGCATCATTACTGCAAAAAGAGTCAATATATTATACAATTCTCATTAAATTTAGTAGTTCTTACAATTGCTTTGGGTCAAGTTTTTTGAATAATAAAGTCTTTCCACTCGTCCTCCGTCACGCTTGGCCATTTTTTCCACGGTGGGTCTTGTTCCTCAACATCTTCCTCATTTCCACCTTCACCATCATTTCCCTTGGAAGCTTTCTTCTTGTGTTTCTTTTTCTTTAGATCCATCCACTGGTCAAGTGGGTCTTGAAGCCTCTGAATCTCTCCGCTAGTAAAGAATCAAACACCCTTCTCTTCTGGGGATCATTAGGAATATTAAAAAGCTTCTGCAATCACAAATACAAGCAATTATTATTTTCCATTTACAGACAACCATTAGGTGAAATTATTTGTAATTGTGTAAATGTGCATTTGAACAAAACACTTGCCCTGGTATCATCCCAAAATGTTTGAATCAAGCCTGGAGGTACTTGCTTCCAACAAAGTGTAATGGGGATTTTTCGCGAACATATGCCAACTTGGTTTGCATATTTCCGAATCCATTTGCCAATAGGTCGGCCTCTTTTGTCATACTCCAACACCATGGGACCGGTTGGCTTCTTAAAACTTGTTGTCGGACCTCTACCCTTTCTCTTAGCTAGTGCCTTTACCCCCTCTCCACCACCTGTGTTCAATTGCTCCTGTCCTTGGCTTTGAGTTTGAGGAGTAGTGTTCTCACCAACAATCTCAACAATTGTAGAATCAATAGGAGGCGCACATTCAACTGAAATTTCAAATTCATCAAGCTTGCGCTCAAAAGCATCTTGTTCCCGATCTTCTGGCTCACCCAAATCAGTTTCCTTGTTGACATCATATGGCTCTTCCTTGTCCTCATCCTCATCCTCATCCTCATAGCCATCATCATCATCCTCCAAATCAACTACTAGTGGGTCATAATCGTCCTCCATGAGTTATAAACACATGTCATTACAAACATAACACGATATTAGGTCCATAAGAGATAAAAATGTTGACATATAGGTCATAATACATGTTAGCATATAAAATATTAAATTCTATCATTTTTGATGCATTTTGACGTAACTTGTTATTTTCTAGTACCGTTAATACTAAAAAAATTAAATTCTATCATAATATGTCAATTTTGAGATATACTTCATTCATTAACAAGAATTTTTGAAAATTTAGCATGCAACTAAGATAACAATATCATACATTTTCCCTCAAAATATTCATAAAATTACCTAACTTCTAATTAAATTTAATAATACTTTTAATTGCTTACAATTTCAAATTAACTGTTATAGTACCTCATTCTAATATTCCTTCGTTGTGGTCTGACCGCATATAACATGTCTGGTCGTCTATGTTATTTGATGAAATAGGTCTAGGAACAGTGAAAGGTGCTGAATCATCAAACACATCGTATTCTTCCTCATCTTCAACATCTCCAATGCCTAGGATTCTTCTTTTCCCAGCTAGCACAATGGACCATTTTTAATCGACTGGGCCAGTTACATAGAACACTTGCTTAGCTTAAGAAGCTAGGATGAACGGTTCCGCACTATCATTCAAGTGCCCAAGATCTACAAGAGTAAAGTCATCATACTTGATATTACGCCTGATATTATCAACCCACTTACATTTGAAAAGAGCAACCGTGAAGTTACAATAATCAAGCTCCCATATTTCTTGAATTCGACCGTAGTATGACAATTTTGCATCGACATGTTATTTATCCTCAGCACTTGCAAACTCCCTTGACGATGCCACAAGCGTTACTCCACTGTTTTGGGTCGACGAAGATTTCAGATCCCGACCCTCTGTCCAAAAAGTGTACCCATTGATGTCATATCCCTCAAATGAGTGAACATCATCCCTAGGACCATAAGCAAGCCACCTTACTGTATCAGTGACACTATCATCCAAGCGACTCATCACTCGTTCACTAAACCAACTCACAAACCTCTTATTATGCAACTGCATTAGTGCCCTTTCACCTTTCGATGGAAATTCATCACGCAAACTAGCCATGTGCTCATCTAAATATGGGTGAACATCTGCAACATGGTGCAACACATAAAGGTGTGCTTGTAAGAACTGATCTCGATCCGGTGACATTCGTTTTGACCCGATTGTTCCATGACCATCCAGTCTCCCTTCATGTCGAGAAGCAGGAAGACCAATAGGTTCAGCAACGGCTAAATAGTCGGCCACAAAATTACCAATCTCCTCACTCACGGTCTCTTGAATCATGCTTCCTTCCGGATGAGCCGGATTCCTTACTTTATCTTGCAATATGCCCATGTGTCTTTCAAAAGGATAGCACCACCTCAAGAAAACTGGACCGCACAACTTAATCTCACGCACCAAATGAAGAATGAGATGCACCATTATGTCAAAAAATGAGGGTGGGAAATACATCTCAAATTTGCACAAAGTCACAACCACATCCGCTTGCAAAGCATCAAGTGTACAAGGATCAAGCACTTTGCTGCATATTGTATTGAAAAACGAAGATAGGCTTGTAATAGCTTCCCTCACGTGCTTCGGTAAAATACCACGTATTACAATCGGTAGAAATACTTGCATCAACATGTGACAATCATGGAATTTCATACTTTTCAGCTTCAGTTCTCCACTTAAGGATACAAATCTTTTCATGTTAGATGCGTACCTAGATGGAACCTTAATGCCAAAGACATGCACAAAACATCCGCTTTTCTACCCTTGACAATGTGTAGCAAGCCGGTGTTAAATACTTCTTCTCAACCTTGCCTTTACCCTCATCTCTACTCTTTGAAGCATCCACGACCTTTCCCTTGATCTTCCCCTTTCCTTTTTTCGAAACATTTACAGTTTCTTGTTCCGGTTTTTTTCCCTTTCTGTCCTTCCCCTTTGTAACCTTGTCTTGAGGCCACAATTCTGGACGAACCCCGATCTCTTGCAAATCTAACCGTACACTCCTTTGTTTTGCCTGAAATATTAAAAAGTGTTCCCACAAGAGCATCACACACATTCTTATCTATATGCATCACATCAAAACAGTGCCTAACATCATGTTCTTTCCAGTATGGAAGCTTCCACAAAATTGATTCTTTTTTGAAAAGAGCTGTTGAGACCGGAGCTTTTTCAGATTTTCCAAACACTGTTCGTATACCCTTAACTTGAGCATAAAACTCAACACCGGTCATTGGCCTAGGCGCAGTCTCCTCTTCCACTGTCCCATCGAAAGCCTTTTTTTGCCTACGGTACGGGTGATCACGCCTAAAGAACCTTCGAGTCCTTATATACACATCTTTGTGAGAATTCTTAAGGTATATGCTTGATGTTTCATCAATACATATGGGGCATGCTTTTTTCCCTTTAACCTTGTACCCACACAGGTTGCCATATGCAGGGAAGTCATTCATGGTCCACATAAGGGCTGCACGCAATGTGAACACCTCGTTCTTATGAGCATCAAAACAAGAAACCCCTTCGTCCCACATCTTTCTCAAATCGCCAATTAGTGGCGCAAGTAACCATCTATGTCATTTCCAGGTTTCCTAGGCCCCGTTATTAGCAATGAAAGCATTATATACTTCCGTTTCATACATAACCTAGGAGGCAAATTGTAGATCACTAAAAGAACCGGCCAAGTGTTGTGTTGGGTACTAAGAGTGCCAAATGGATTCATCCCGTCTGTGCACAACCCAAGTCTTAAATTTTTGACTTCATTACCAAACTCCAGAAACTTCAAATCAATGTTCTTCCATTGCG